TAATGCACCAGGAAGAACGGTAGACGAAAACTGGCTCGAGTTTAAAGCATCTATAAAGCAAGTAGAAAAATGTATCCCAAGTCGTAAAGCCAACACTAGTGCTGACCCCCCGTGGTATAGCCCCGAACTCAGGCGCCTTGATGACAAACAGCGAAAGCTACATCAAAAGGCTAAGGCGTGTAGGCAAGAGGAGTTTTGGCGTAAATACAAAGAACTGAAAAGGGTCGTAAAACGAGCCCATAGGCAAGCAGAAATGAACTATAAAAGGAAGCTTGGTTCCCTGATTAAAGAAAATAGTAAGTGCTTTTGGAAATACGTAAAAACTATGCGCGGTCAAAAAACAGGAATCTCCTCTATTCGGTCTCAAAGTGGTGAACTAGTGGTAGATCCAAGAGGAATAGCCAATGTGTTAAATATGCAGTACAAAAAAGTGTTTTGTGGCTTGAGTGATGCACCTGAAACTGTTCCATCGAACTATCGTGTAACTGAGTCAATGGGGTCTATGCTGCCCGTAGAAATAGACTATAACGGTGTTGTAGGTCTATTAAAGAACATAAACGTAACCAAGGCCCCTGGACCTGACGGCATCTCTGGCGCTATTCTGAAGTATTGTGCCAGGGTTGCTGCAATGTTTTTAAAGATTATATTTGAACAGTCCTTAAGTACGGGGGATGTGCCCCAAGACTGGCGCAGGGCATCAGTTCACCCAGTTTTTAAAGGTGGTAATTCAAAGCAGCCCGAGAATTACCGTCCAATATCCCTTACTTGCATCTGCTGTAAATTGATGGAGCGCATTTTAACTTGTGCAATCACAACTTATTTAGAAGAAACAAACCTATTTTCGCGGTTTCAGTTTGGATTCCGAAAGCACTTATCGTGTGAGTCACAATTAATAATGTTTTGTCAAGATACTTTCTCGTCACTTGACCAAAAACATAGTGTAGATCTTGCATTTATCGACTTCAGCAAAGCTTTTGACAAAGTGTCACATTACCACCTCTTAAAGAAGCTTGAAACGTACAAGTTAGATAAAAAAGTAATTGATTGGATTAAAGCATTCCTATGTAACAGAAAACAAAGTGTTGTGTTAGATAATTGCCATTCTGACGAGATACAGGTAACGTCAGGAGTTCCGCAGGGAAGTGTAGGGGAAAGTGGGTGTATTGCGCCCTCCTAACCAATTGCGCCCACCAACATTCCCACGGATTCAATAGCATGTTTAGAATTTTGTGTTCGAAAACATTATTTTCACCACTGGATTGTTCATTTTATGGCCCAAACACTCCGATGAAGCCAATCAGCAAGGCTCAATACGCCATCAAAGATGTTATGGCGTTTTCTTAACTTTTTTGCAGTATTTTGAACCGTTGGCTATAAAAATTTACGATATTTGTGTGATTTTCAGAGTGATATTTAGAAAGAAAAATCCTTTTTTTCATTGTATTTCACTGAAACCGTAAGCTTCCTGCAACATCTTTATGATAACTTCTATGCTTTTATCAAAAAGTATCTCAATTTTAATTGCGCCCATGGCAATTGCGCCAGGGGGGCGCAAATAGAATAATGGTGTAGCCATTGTATCACGACAGTATGAATGCATCATTAACTGATTGCAATAAAGAAGGAGTTTTATGTCAGGCAAGGGAGCAGCCCGCTGTCGTCAGTCCGCAAATTATCTCTATCGTCAAACTTATAATGCAGCTGCCATTTAGGCTACGACTTGTGGTGTAATTGACAAAATACGACATTTTCAACATGCACTCAGGCGTGAGAAGTGACAGCTATGATGAAAAAGTAAAAACTGATATCATTAAGTTGTCAAAACTATAAAATTATTAATTTTGAGAGAACCGATTGAAAATTTAACTGTATAGGCGCATACGTTCACATATATCTAGTCGGTTACAGTAAACGTTTTCGTTGCACTTTTACAAGCGTACGGACACATGTAAAGTTATCTACCTGGGCAAAAGACATCGCGATTTATATCTACATTTATTATTCATCCAGCCTGAATAACATTATAAATGTTTAAGTAAGCCGCAATGACATTAGACTGCCGGGGTGTATGCATTCCGTCTCATTCACTTAGCCATGTAAAATATAGGGCGCGATTGGGTTCTAATTGCGCCATCCCCCTGGCGCAATTTACAGCAGTTGTTGGCAAATGCGCCCTTTTGCATGTTTCTGAAAAACAGCTGTCAGAAGCAAACGAAACATTATTAATTGATCGGGAGGCTCTTAAATCGTAGCCAATGAGCTCCTCTTTGAAATGGTTACCAGTGCATGCTTATATCTCCAGCGGTTTTCTTGCAATTAGCATTTTTCCTTAAGGTGGCGCAATTCACCCTCCTTCCCCTACTCGGGCCAATTTTGTTTCTCTTATATATAAATGACTTGCCTGATAGAATTGATTGCTCGATACGCATGTACGCTGATGATGTTGTACTATACACAGATGTTGTAAGTAACATAGACTCTACTCATAAGTTGCAGACAAACCTAGATGCATTATTGCAATGGTGTAAGGATTGGAAAATGTCAGTAAATGTAAATAAATGTGCTATAATGAGAATGTCAAGAAACAAGCGTGCGGCAGTCCCAAAGTACTTTTTCAATAACTCAGCAATCCCAGTAGTAGAAGAGTTCAAATACTTAGGAGTGTTCATTTCGAATACTTGTAGCTGGCAAAGACATATACAGTATGTGGCTAGTAGAGGTAACCAAATGTTAAGATTTGTGAAAAGAAATTTTAACCCGGCAGGCGGTGGGCCTACCAGCCACCTTCCGCGCGGTGGGGGGGGGGGGCACTTTTTTGCCCCCCCCCCCGTATCTCCGAAACTACTGGACGGATCCGGAAAATTCAAACGGCGTTCGATAGCCCTGTCAAATTTGTCGAGGGAAACCAAATTTCATTGATCTCGGGGTCACCGATGACGTCACAGGTCAGGTCAAAGATAAAATGTTTCACCGTTCACGGGGCTTCTAGGGAAAGCGCTATAACACCGAGTAAAACGCATTTTGTCGAAAATCAGCGATAAGGCGTCAGTTGTCTAGTACATATGTTGCTATTAGAGGTCACTGGTCATACCAGGTCAGGTCACAGGTCAGGTCACCAAAGGTCACCAAGGGTCACCACATGAGCCCAACTTTACTAAGGTTATGCGATGCATGTTTTATGGCCAGTTTTTCATTTCCAACTCAATGGTGTTGGTTATAAGACCATCAGGTACGGTTTAGGTCACTTTCTGGTGGAGGTCAGGTCAAGGTCAGGTCAAAAAAGGTCAAATTTCAAAGTTGATATTTTTGCATAAAATGGGTATCGATTCGATGCAGCTCGTCACGGGGAGTCTAATGGGGGTCTTTGTTTTGCGCTACGAGGTCTAGAATTGCTAAAAATTGAGTTTGAAAATTTGACGTCATCAATTTTGAACAGTTTTTTCGCCATAACTTGGCCAAAAAAAAGAGGTATCGATCTCAAATTTGGTATGTAGATAGAAGGCGGTAGGGGCTATCACATATATTCCGGTTTTTCGAAATTCAAAAAAACTTTTTGGATTTTTTGGCTATTATATTCAAAAAATCTATTTTTTGATTTTTGGGGTCAAAATCCAAAAAATTTGAAAAACCGAAATAGCAGTTTTGTAGCCCTTTTAATTTCACACCTTTTATGTCTGACACATTTTTCTGTATCTCTAAAGCTGTAGGCCTGACAGCTCTTCCCGCGAAACCTTTTTTTGGGTCGAAAATGGCGAAAATTACGTCACTCTGACGTCATTAGCGGCCAACCTATCATAGCCTTTGGAAACATTTTTGGTCACCATGTGCGCTAGCTGCTCCCGGGAGGGTACTGAAAGTTTGGTGACGATCGGCGCAGCGGTTCTCGAGATATATCGAAAAAACTAAAGGGGGGGCAAAAAAATGCCCCCCCCCCCCCCACCGCCTGGAAGGTTAAAGGCTGTCCACAAGTAGTAAAAGAAACAGTGTATACATCTTTAGTTAGGCCATTAATAGAATATGCAAGTTGTGTTTGGGATCCCAACGCAGAAGGAATGAAACACAATTTAGAGATGATACAGAGGCGTGCAGCTCGTTTTACCTTGAACGATTACAGTAGGGATATCAGCGTCACAGATATGTTGTCATCAATTGGCTGGGACACGCTGGAAGGACGACGCAAAGTTGCCAGATTGTGTTTTTTGTTCAAATTGTACCATGGCGAGAGTAGACATGACACTGATAATATTATTCTTAGGCCTAACTACATAGGGAGGAACGATCATCCCAAAAAGATAAGGCGGATACAATCGCGACTACTATCATACCACAATTCGTTCTTTCCTAAAACTATCCGAGAATGGAACCAACTTGATGTAAATTTAGCCGCAATAGAGACGCTTTCTGACTTCAAAGCGATGTTGTAATGTGTGTACTTGTAGTGTATAATGTTGTGTTCGATGTTTTTTTGAAAGAGGAGACTCATGCTACGACCAATCCAGACGAATCGAATTTAGTACGATCCGCCGACCATCACCAGGACCTACCAATGGTATTTGTGATGTTTTTTTATGAATACAAATGAACGCAGAAAGCTACCAATAGATGGCGTTAGCAGTGCACACCCGTAGGTATGCTGTGCCGCACGGCACACGGTGGCTGTCGACTGTCTAGTCTCCCGCTCGTGACATTGAAGCACGCGGCAGGCAGCCAATTAGCGTGTGTTGGAGCATGCTGAACGTTTCGGGGAGCGATTTACAATGTGGCCCTGTCGACGCCGCATTTTTTATTACCGTGCACGCTAATTGCTCAATAATAAATATATGATAAAAGCGTTAGTGGCCACCATGCACCCCAGCTTTCCGGTTCGGTGTGGCTCATGGTCATTAACGATAGGTGTCAGATCGTTGTTGGGAGTGCAATGGGGACTATTCTGGCCTGTATCCCCTCTACAGGAACTTCTCACAACTGCTTCCGAGTCCGGGATATGGAGGCGTATGTACCTGTTGAACCACCAGCCGCCTCCGTAAGCGTTGGCACAGGGACAGCAGGGCGGCGCCTTGTCGTTGGTCACGTCCCACGTGGAGAACTTGCTCAGGTTGTGTGACGTCAGTGAGTCAGACGCGTTCCCATGGTAACCAGCCACCTCCAGGTAATAGCCGTCGTCCTCGCCTGAAACTCTGAGCAATGACAATGTCCAGGCCTCTACACTCCGAACATTAGTCATAAGCAAAACACACACAAAAGGTTAAAAAGAAGGAACGTGATATGTGCTCTTTGTCAAACACCCCTACCGAAAACAAGGTGCTCGCATGTTAATTTTTACTCGCACATTTCACAGCGAAAACAAAATGAATCTTTGCACGTCTAACTAGTAACCTGAGTATCCTAGTCGATTATAAATGTGTTATGCATTGGTTCCGTTGAAATGTTTATTCACCTTTTCATTGCGTATATCGTGGACCATCTGGCATAACTGCACTGAGTTCCGAAATGTATTTACCCACGGTACCTACCTACAATTAGTAAAATGCACGACTTACTTAAACTTGGTGTAAATGGCGTAGGCGGTGTTTCCGTCAAAGTCTTCGAGATCTACTCGAAGAGTCACATCCTGGTCGTGCGTTAGCCTGAGGACGAACAACATCAAATGAGATGTGCCGAGCTTGCAAGTATAACATGCTCGCCGCTCGCAGTTCGTGCTGAAGCTCAAACGGATAAATCACCCTGAATCCCCGTGAAACGATTCTTCAAAATAGAGAAACAATATGCGGCCTTGATAAAAGGGATGTTCGGCAATCGGCATGTTATTGTAGGTACCGAATGACGGATATCTGTAAATTGTTCAGCCTATTTACGAAGCCTACTTCAGTGCCTAGTTGCCAGCCAATCCAACATTGCTGAGAAAATATTAATCCTTACTTGTGGATGTTTTCGTTTCCGAACCAAAACTCCTTGTCCAGGTCTCCGAAGCCGTGTTTGTAGGCATTCCATGCTTGACTGAAGTTTAGCTTTGGCGTTCCAAAATCATTTCGTCGCTGAATTACCTGTTAGGTAGGAGATTCGGTGTTAGCGCGCATGCACTGACATGCATGTCAGTGCACCTAAGATAAAGGCGAGAAGTTTAGGGGCGGTCGCAGACTTGGCGTTTGGGGGGGGGGGGTCAACTTGGCAAAGGGGCCCCCGCGTTGACCCGGGGGGCCCGGTGCTAGCTTAAAGGGGCCCATGGGCGTAGGAGCGGCTGAAACATTGGGGGTGAATGGGGCCAGGAATCCAGCCATGGCCGGTGAAGCGGGGGGGGGGGGGTAGGGAGCGGCACCCGAGCGGGGCTCATTGCGAACTTTGAGAGTGTACCATGTCGAACAGGTATCGATAAGTGCATTTTGAAGCACTGATAATGTCAATAATTCACGCAACTGTGAATTGGCTGCCGTAAAAAGTAAACGCGGCTAATTTAGCCATTTTCGAAGACATCCCGCTAAAACTTTTGACATTGGGTCATCAGTAGGTACCCAGCTAACAATTTGCCGTTGTTACAACGTCGTTTAAACGTTGTCAAATGGTTACCACAACGTTCCGATTTGTCGTTGTGACAACGTAATTTTGTAGACTCCAGACAACGGCGTGACAACGTCATCCGACCATGCATTTAAATGTCATCACAACGTTTCGGTAACGTGACCGTGACGTCCCAAAACCGTTCTCACAACGTCCCGCCAACGTTATGAAATGTTTTCTGTAACGTGCCAACAGTGTTTCTGGAACGTTGTCACCACGTTTCCACAACGTGACTACAACGAGAATAGAACGCTTTGGCAACGTCTCTGCGACGTTTCTGAACGTTTTTATCACGTGCGCACCACGTTGTCGCTACTTCGTATCGCGTCCCTGCGACCCCGAGTAAACGTCCTAAACATTTTCGCAACGTCCTCTTAACGTGTTCGCAACATACTCAGAATGTGTTTCCGGCGCTCTCTTCCCGTTCTCTAGACTTGTAAAAAAGGCATGTAAGAAGTGTATATTTCAATACATCACACAGGTCAATTTACAAAAAAAAAAAAAAACGACAGCGGCGGCATCGGTAATGGGGCATGGGGCCCAGGGGCGCCCCCATGGGTGCGTGGGACGGAATTGGGTTCTACCGGCTCTAGCGCTAGCCGCTAGCACGCCAGAACTGGTGGAAGTTCACTTCTTCACTAACCCTCGCTGGGAGGATCACTCGGCGGACCGTTAGGCACCGGCTCATTTGCGGCCTCGATGTCCCTCGGCAGCTGGCAGTGCCTGACCAGACGGTCTGCACGCCCCCCGTTCCGGTCGCAGCTTCCGGACAGCCACTTCGCTACCGCATTGCCGATAGTAGGCCTGCCACAAGGCGCGCTGACGAGTTGCAGGACGTCTGCGGGAAGACATGAGGGAAAATCAGACATATTCAATTCATGAAAAAAAAATCACAAAAATACCTTCACCACTTCCCGTAACAGTGCGACAGGCTAGATCAAACATGTCAACACCTTAGTGGCTAGAGCTACAATGAACTATAGCCTAGACCGCACGATATTACAAGGCACAATCTTGCAAATGCTACTCGTAAATGGTACTTTGACTTACCAGTCAAAACAACAATCACATCAAGCGCAGACAACTGGCGCTATCTTTCATCTTCCAGCTACCTCTGCCGCGCCCGCCGCCGGTCCTCACTGCTTGCTCGGGTCGCGCAGACTGCGGCTCGGCCGGCTGGCTCTGAACGCCGGCCGGTGACACTGACGTCACGGCCCCTCCGGCGAGGTCAGGGCGGCCGCCTCCGCTCGACACTGGCTGCCGGCGTGGTTCGCTGGCAGCCGCGGATAACAGCCGCGTTTACATAGGGATAGTTGCAAGCCTCTAGCTCCGCCTGTGATGTTGCAAAACATGCCAATGACGCTTTGCAATTTACACAATGATCTCATCTAAATATACGAAAAGTACTACATTAAAATTATCGCAGAAGAAGTGAGCAACAGCCCCGACAAAAATGCTATGTAACCGGGCATATTGTTTGGGTAGCAGGGAGCCGGATTTGTGCCGGACTTGGCGGTCCGAAACCATACTAACTCCGGAGCGCTACGGCAAAGACTGGCAACCGGAGTCACCATCAAATTAATACCCACCCGCCTTTTAACTATATGCTATACATACATACATACATACATACATATATATATGTATATATATATATATATATATATATATATATATATATATATATATATATATATATATATATATATATATATATATGTTAGAGAGAGATAGAGAGAGAGAGGTATCAGAATTTACTTGTAAAAACACCGCTGATTATTCAGTACCTATAATGTCAAGGTTGTGAAAAACCGTTTTAACAACGTGTTGGCGACCACCAGCTGACAACGTGAACAACTGAACAGTCCTAGTGTTAAAACATGTCAAATTTAACGATGAAAACTGAACATGCGCATTGGAAGTCAAAGGAAATGCATTATATGGCCATATATGTCACCATGCATTATCAAAATATAATGTTGCAAGTGTGCGGTTGCTGCAACGTACCAATAAAACGTTGTCACAACGTTTTACCACAACTTTAGGACCAAACCATGGCTTCACAACGTTCAGAACGTTGCTAGAACGTAATTAAAACGTAATTTCGCAACTTACCGAAACACGACGTTGTGACAACGTTGTACTAACGTTTCCTGTTAGCTGGGTATGTGTTCAATCACATGTGTTTCGTTTTGTCTTTTTTTTTTACTTAAGCACAACTGTGAGTAACTGGTAGGTAAGTAATTTAAGTCAAACCCCAAGAGGCCGGCGTTGGACCCAAGGGTCAGCGAAGGGCCTCAAAGGCCCAGATGGGGCCCCAGAGGCTGATGTGGGCCCTCAGAGGCAAGTGCGTGACGCCCAAAGGTAAGTCTTGGGCCCCCCAGAGAACATAATAGGGCCATCAGTGGCCGGTGTAGAGACCTCATGGGGGCCTATAGAGGCCAGTTTGGGCCCTTCAGAGGCTAGTGTGGGGCCTCAGACGTCGGTGTGAGGCCCTTAAAGACCGGCGTGGCGTGGGTCCTCAGAAGTCGGCATCGATCCTTCAGAAGCCAGTACGGGGCCTTCAGAGGCACATAGGGTCAGTCTTGGGTCCCAGAAACGGAAATGGGACCATCGGCGTGGGACCTTAGTGGGCCGTGTGGGACCTTTAGAGACCGGTTTGAGTCCTTGGAGGCCAGTTTAGGGCCCTCAGAGATCATTACAGGGCCTGTAAAGGGCAGTTTGAGACCATCAGAGACCGACTTGGGCCCTGAGAGGCTAATGTAGGTCCTTACAGGCCAGCATGGGGCCCTCAGAGGTCAGCGTGGAGCCCTAAAAGATCGGCATGGGCCGGCGCTGGACCCCAGAGGCAAGCAGAGGGTACACAAAGGCCAAGATGGACCCTCAGAGGCCGATGCGGACCCTTAGCGACCGGCATCGGGTCTTCAGAAGCCAGTGTGGGGCCCTCAGAGGCACCTAAAGGTTAGTCTTGGGATCCCAGAGACAGAAATGAGGCCACCAGATGCCGGTGTGAGACCCTCAGACGCCGGTTGGGGCCCCCTGAGGCCGGTTTAGTGGCCCTTAAAGACCATTGGAGGGCCCTCAGAGGTCGATGTGGGCTCTCAGCAGTCAATGTGGGCGCTTGACCGCCACTGAAGGGCCCTCAGAGATCAGTGTAGGACGCTCAAAGGTCGGTGTGGGAACTATTCATAGCTGGGCGTGGGTTTCTTGAGCCTTGTGACAATCGAATAAGGGCCAGCGCCCCATGCGCTCATGGGGGCCCATCGGTTGCTTGGGGGGGAGGGCAAATGATGTGATGGCCCCCCTTATTTGCCTTGGGGGCATGCCCTGAAAAGCCCCCCCCCCCCTGCGACCGCCACTGGAAAAGTTGCCAACCTTGCGAGAAATACCATCGAAGTGGTAATCAAACCGACTTTCAAATTTAGCAGCCCTTTCTCGGTCGGGGGACTGATGAATCCAACCGCAACGATGCACGGCACTTTCAAGAGATCCAATCTAATCCAAACCATCAACGTGAGTAAGTACAGTCTCTCTTGAAAGTGCCGTGCATCGTTGCGGTTGGATTCATCAGTCCCCCCGACCGAGAAAGGGCTGCTAAATTTGAAAGTCACTGAACCAATTGACGTGGGGAATGGATGAAGGTGACACTTGGTTTGGTGACTTAAATTTAGCAGCCCTTCCTCGGTCGAGCTTGATGAATCCACCGCAACGTTACGCGGTACTTTCAAGAGAGACTGTTTATTGTACAAGCTCTGCCCGACTGACCGTCCTTTCGGCTCACTGAGACCATCCACCTCCCCTCCGCCATGCCCACTGACCGTCCACCTACCCTGCTCAGCCGAACGTCCCCCTCCCCACACCCGTCCCACTGACCGTCCCCCTCCCCACATCCGTCCCACTGACCGTCCACCCTCCGCCGTCCGTGTCCATGTCGCAGTAGCGCTCCATGAAGTCGAGGCCGACCGGCGGGCCGAACGCGTCGCCGAACCGGTAGCGCACGTCGCTCTCCATGCCGAGCTCGGCCAGGTCCTCGCAGCCGCGCAGGCCGGGCAGGCCGGGCCCGGGCGGCGGCGGCGGCTGCTGGGTGGGCGCCGCGCCCGCGCCGGCCGCCTGGTGACCGCCGGCCGCCGCCGTGCCTGTCGCCGCCTCCGCGCCCGCCGCCGGCTTGGCCAGCAGGTCGAGCGCGGCGAACAGCCGGTCCATGGTGGTGACGGCCGTGCTGTTGACCGCCTCGGTGAGTGCCTGCAGCGCCTGGGACGAGTTGGTCGCCGCCTGCCGGCCGTGGTCGTGCAGCTCAGCCAGCAGCCGGCTGATGTTGGCCTGCCGCTGCTCGGTGCGCTCCCGGTGCTGCCCCAGGCCCGCCGCCAGCGCCGCCGTCGTGTCGGAGACGTTGCGGAACGCCTCGACCGTCTCGGAGCCGGCCTGCCGGATGGTCTTGAGACGCGCCACGACGTCCTCCTGGTGGCGCTGCAGCGAGAGGTCGCTCTTGTCCTGCTTGGAGCCCTGTCGGAACAGGACGTCCTCGAGCCGGTCCAGCTTCACTTCCATGGTGGAGGTGCGGTAGTCGAGCACGTCCTCCATCCGACCCACGGCCTCGCGCACCGACTCGAACTGGTCAAAGTTGAGCTCCATCTGAGTCCACTGTTTGAGCAGTTTGTCGCAGCTCGGTGCGTCGGAGCTGTCCACGCCGGCAGCGGCGGCGGCGGCGCTGGTGGGCGGCGGACGTCCCGGCGGCGGGCGGCGGCGGCCGCGCGGCTCGCCGTGCACCCGCGGCCGTGCCTGGCGCAGCACGCTCTCGGTGGAGTTTCGGCGGCGGGCGGCGTGCACCTCGGGCGGCCGGCGCTCCGTCACCACGGCGGCGATCCTGTCCAGCTTCACCTCGATGGCGTTGAGCATGTTGTTGCTGCTGATGGCCTCCTCCAGCTCGTCCTGGATGTCCCGGTACTGGATGTCGGCGCCGGGGCCCGCCGACACCACGCCCGGCTCCGACTCCACAGAGTTGACCACCTGCGGCCGCGCACCGTCAGGTCAGAGCTCAGGGGGCGACAGCACGGGCCGCAACGGGAATCCGCCAGTTGTGTGTACCCAGGGGCGCGGGCGAGAAACAAAACATTAGCGAGCACTGGTGAAACAAAGCGCTACTTAGGACGTGTATGAATGGTAACTTTAATTGTCTATACACAGTTATGTTATTTATTACTTCATTCAATCTAGTTTATACCTATTGTTTTAATTGATCTCGTGATTACCTTTTTGATGACAAATCTCCGTCGGTTCATGCCTTCGATCTTGGTCTTGAGCTCTCGGAGCGTGGCCATGACGCCTTTGATGGCGAAGTCGTTGACCATGGCACCGGAAGACTCTGGTATTTTGGCCACCAGGCGGGCCAGCTGGGCGTTCAGCTGATCGACGGCATACGAGACGGCCGAGTAGGGCGTGATGTCCTCATACAGCTCGACCGTCCGGTCAATGCCCCTGACAATGGAACATCACGGTCATTGCTCCTAAGGATGGAACGGCACGGTCAACGCCCTGATAACTGATGAAAAGCGTCCCTTATAACAGAGCAGCGTGGTAAATACCCTGATGCTGGAGCGGCACACTTTTTGATCGTCATTTCATCTAGCGGATCATGACTCGTGTCTCGGTAAGGCATTCATATTAGCAGCATTAGCAGTGAGTGCATCGACAGGTACTGACTCTTTGAGGAGGTCCATCTTGCGGTCGGTGCCGACCAGCAGGTCCGTCCACGAGGTGATCACCGACTGGAAGGTGTCCCAGACGCGCGCGCGCTCCTGCAGCTGGCCCAGCTTGTCCTCGACACGGGTGAGCGTACGCGCGGTGCCCACCTGCAGCTGCTCTATCCGGCTGAGGTACTGCTGGCCGAACTGCTCCATCCGCGCTGCCCACACCGCACCGGTCACCGGGTCAGACACCGCGCTGCCCACATCGGTCACCGCGTCAGACACAGGAGAAATAGGACGTCAGACCCGGGGAATATGAACGTCAGACACGGCGAATACTGACGATATACACGGGGAATACGGATGTCAGTCATGGGATACGGACGTCAGACACGGGAAGTACGGACGGGAATACGAACGTCAGATCCGGGTAGCTCGGACGTCATACATGGGAATACGGACACCCAAAGGCGAAAAATACGGACGTTTGTCAGACCCGGGAAACACGGACGTCAAAGGAGAAGGAATACCTACTGGCGATAAATGCGGAGGGTACCGGTACTGGCACGTGCGGCCCTGTCCGTGTCCTTTGCCACCGTCTGTGTCCATGTCCCTAGTTGTGACGGGCGACGGTAATAAACCGACCGACCGGCGCGGCGACAGCAGTCGGCGGAGCCGTGCGGTGCAGCCTACCTTCAGGCGTTTACAGCTAGTGCCATCTAGTGGCAGATGAAAGAAACACGGAGCTGGGACCGCGCGTTCTTGGTGGAAGAGGCGCACTAAAAAAATTAATGAGTGAGAGGAGAGAGAGAGAGAGAGAGAGAGAGAGAGAGAGAGAGAGAGGGAGAGAACGAGAGAGAGAGAAAGAGGGGTGAGACTGCAGTAGGCGTACTTAACCCGCGCACCGACGGGGGTCTGCGCCAACTTAGAACCGACGGGGGGGGGGCGGATGACCGCCCCCCCCCCGAGATCTCGAGAACGAAGCAAGATAGCGACAAGCGGTAAACGGCATCGGATACGCACGGACAAGGTCTACAATTTTTACGCAGGTCATTTTCAGGTTAGGTCAAAGATGACGTCACAGGGGTCAAAGTCAAAATGGCGGCGCTGGATATGGAGTTTTTCTCGAATAACTTTCGAATTAGTCAAGATAGGAAAAAACTAAGAGCATCATCGTGATCCTCTTGTCAATCCGCATCGAATGATATATATGTTGACCTCGAAAGGTCAAGGTCAAAGGTTGACCTCAGGTCACGTGACCTCGAGGTCATCATGTATATCATTTGATGCGTTTTGACGAGCTGAACACAATGAGATCATCCGCGCTGCTTTATCTTGTTCCTGTACGGAGTTATTAGCAAAAAAACTTTGTTGACCTTTGATGACGTCACATGATCTTACAGCTGCCCAACAACAAAACAGACCTCAAGGTAGTGAAGGTCGATGTCCGTGAAGTTAGCGTCAGCAACAGCAACGAATACAGCGTCGGATTCAGAATCGCTTGAAAAACTCATATTAGGTCAATTGGGGGACGGGGAGCAAGAATATGACATTTATATGGCCCTAGCTCTTACCCCTTACCCCTTAATCGGCCCTTAAAGGAAGGGGCGCGTCAAAAGTGCCTCAAGGGTTCGTCTGATCGCCAAAATAAGGGTCGCAATCGATTCCTCGGGTCAATATCTAGCCGCAGCCTCGGGTTCCAGATGTGTGCAACTTACCCCTTACCCCTTAATCGGCCCTTAAAGGAAGGGGCGCGTCAAAAGTGCCTCAAGGGTTCGTCTGATCGCCAAAATAAGGGTCGCAATCGATTCCTCGGGTCAATATCTAGCCGCAGCCTCGGGTTCCAGATGTGTGCAATTTACCCCTCACCCCTTAATCGGCCCTTAAAGGAAGGGGCGCGTCAAAAGTGCCTCAAGGGTTCGTCTGATCGCCAAAATAAGGGTCGCAATCGATTCCTCGGGTCAATATCTAGCCGCAGCCTCGGGTTCCAGATGTGTGCAACTTACCCCTTACCCCTTAATCGGCCCTTAAAGGAAGGGGCGCGTCAAAAGTGCCTCAAGGGTTCGTCTGATCGCCAAAATAAGGGTCGCAATCGATTCCTCGGGTCAATATCTAGCCGCAGCCTCGGGTTCCAGATGTGTGCAACTTACCCCTTACCCCTTAATCGGCCCTTAAAGGAAGGGGCGCGTCAAAAGTGCCTCAAGGGTTCGTCTGATCGCCAAAGTAAGGGTCGCAATCGATTCCTGGGGTCAATATCTAGCCGCAGCCTCGGGTTCCAGATGTGTGCAACTTACCCCTTACCCCTTAATCGGCCCTTAAAGGAAGGGGCGCGTCAAAAGTGCCTCAAGGGTTCGTCTGATCGCCAAAATAAGGGTCGCAATCGATTCCTCGGGTCAATATCTAGCCGCAGCCTCGGGTTCCAGATGTGTGCAACTTACCCCTTACCCCTTAATCGGCCCTTAAAGGAAGGGGCGCGTCAAAAGTGCCTCAAGGGTTCGTCTGATCGCCAAAATAAGGGTCGCAATCGCTTCCTCGGGTCAATATCTAGCCGCAGCCTCGGGTTCCAGATCTGTGCAACTTACCCCTTACCCCTTAATCGGCCCTTAAAGGAAGGGGCGCGTCAAAAGTGCCTCAAGGGTTCGTCTGATCGCCAAAATAAGGGTCGCAATCGATTCCTCGGGTCAATATCTAGCCGAAGCCTTGGGTTCCAGATGTGTGCAACTTACCCCGTACCCCTTAATCGGCCCTTAAAGGAAGGGGCGCGTCAAAAGTGCCTCAAGGGTTCGTCTGATCGCCAAAATAAGGGTAGCAATCGATTCCTCGGGTCAATATCTAGCCGCAGCCTCGGGTTCCAGATGTGTGCAACTTACCCCTTACCCCTTAATCGGCGCTTAAAGGAAGGGGCGCGTCAAAAAAGCCTCAAGGGTTCGTCTGATCGCCAAAATAAGGGTCGCAACCGATTCCTGGGGTCAATATCTAGCCGCAGCCTCGGGTTCCAGATGTGTGCAACTTACCCCTTACCCCTTAATCGGCCCTTAAAGGAAGGGGCGCGTCAAAAGTGCATCAAGGGTTCGTCTGATCGCCAAAATAAGGGTCCCAATCGATTCCTCGGGTCAATATCTAGCCGCAGCCTCGGGTTCCAGATGTGTGCAACTTACCCCTTACCCCTTAATCGGCCCTTAAAGGAAGGGGCGCGTCAAAAGTGCCTCAAGGGTTCGTCTGATCGCCAAAATAAGGGTCGCAATCGATTCCTCGGGTCAATATCTAGCCGCAGCCTCGGGTTCCAGATGTGTGCAACTTACCCCTTACCCCATAATCGGCCCTTACAGGAAGGGGCGCGTCAAAAGTGCCTCAAGGGTTCGTCTGATCGCCAAAATAAGGGTCGCAATCGATTCCTCGGGTCAATATCTAGCCGCAGCCTCGGGTTCCAGATGTGTGCAACTTACCCCTTACCCCTTAATCGGCCCTTAAAGGAAGGGGCGCGTCAAAAGTGCCTCAAGGGTTCGTCTGATCGCCAAAATAAGGGTCGCAATCGATTCCTCGGGTCAATATCTAGCCGCAGCCTTGGGTTCCAGATGTGTGCAACTTACCCCTTACCCCTTAATCGGCCCTTAAAGGAAGGGGCGCGTCAAAAGTGCCTCAAGGGTTCGTCTGATCGCCAAAATAAGGGTCGCAATCGATTCCTCGGGTCAATATCTAGCCGCAGTCTCGGGTTCCAGATGTGTGCAATTTACCCCTTACCCCTTAATCGGCCCTTAAAGGAAGGGGCGCGTCAAAAGTGCCTCAAGGGTTCGTCTGATCGCCAAAATAAGGGTCGCAATTGATTCCTCGGGTCGATATCTAGCCGCAGCCTCGGGTTCCAGATGTGTGGAACTTACCCCTTACCCCTTAATCGGCCCTTAAAGGAAGGGGCGCGTCAAAAGTGCCTCAAGGGTTCGTCTGATCGCCAAAATAAGGGTCGCAATCGATTCCTCGGGTCAATATCTAGCCGCAGCCTCGGGTTCCAGATATGTGCAACTTACCCCTTACCCCTTAATCGGCCCTTAAAGGAAGGGGCGCGTCAAAAGTGCCTCAAGGGTTCGTCTGATCGCCAAAATAAGGGTCGCAATCGATTCCTCGGGTCAATATCTAGCAGCAGCCTCGGGTTCCAGATGTGTGCAATTTACCCCTTACCCCTTAATCGGCCCTTAAAGGAAGGGGCGCGTCAAAAGTGCCTCAAGGGTTCGTCTGATCGTCAAAATAAGGGTCGCAATCGATTCCTCGGGTCAATATCTAGCCGCAGCCTTGGGTTCCAGATGTGTGCAACTTACCCCTTACCCCTTAATCGGCCCTTAAAGGAAGGGGCGCGTCAAAAGTGCCTCAAGGGTTCGTCTGATCGCCAAAATAAGGGTCGCAATCGATTCCTCGGGTCAATATCTAGCCGCAGCCTCGGGTTCCAGATGTGTGCAACTTACCCCTTACCCCTTAATCGGCCCTTAAAGGAAGGGGCGCGTCAAAAGTGCCTCATGGGTTCGTCTGATCGCCAAAGTAAGGGTCGCAATCGATTCCTCGGGTCAATATCTAGCCGCAGCCTCGGGTTCCAGATGTGTGCAACTTACCCCTTACCCCTTAATCGGCCCTTAAAGGAAGGGGCGCGTCAAAAGTGCCTCAAGGGTTCGTCTGATCGCCAAAATAAGGGTCGCAATCGATTCCTCGGGTCAATATCTAGCTGCAGCCTCGGGTTTTAGATGTGTGCAACTTACCCCTTACCCCTTAATCGGCCCTTAAAGGAAGGGGCGCGTCAAAAGTGCCTCCAGGGTTCGTCTGATCGCCAAAATAAGGGTCGCAATCGATTCCTCGGGTCAATATCTAGCCGCAGCTTTGGGTTCCAGATGTGTGCAACTTACCCCTTACCCCTTAATCGGCCCTTAAAGGAAGGGGCGCGTCAAAAGTGCCTCAAGGGTTCGTCTGATCGCCAAAATAAGGGTCGCAATCGATTCCTCGGGTCAATATCTAGCCGCAGCCTTGGGTTCCAGATGTGTGCAACTTACCCCTTACCCCTTAATCGGCCCTTAAAGGAAGGGGCGCGTCAAAAGTGCCTCAAGGGTTCGTCTGATCGCCAAAATAAGGGTCGCAATCGATTCTTCGGGTCAATATCTAGCCTCAGCCTCGGGTTCCAGATGTGTGCAACTTACCCCTTACCCCTTAATCGGCCCTTAAAGGAAGGGGCGCGTCAAAA